AATAAGTAATATTTTCATATACTAACTCTTCCAATAGTTTTAACTGCCAGTTTTGTCCATCCCATCTGAGTAACTGTGTATAAGACACCGTATCCATTCTGACACCTCTTTTTATCCCCTCTATTGCATGCCAAGGTATAGCCCATAATGGTATTTTAAAGTCACTCTTATAATATTTTCTCCAAACCCTAAGTAAAGAGATTCTTATAATATGAGATTTAAAAACCCGATCCACCTTCTTATTAAATATTAAATAGGCATGCCAACCAAAAAGTAAATCCCATCCCTCCAGGTGGAGTATCTCCAAATTTGTTAAATTTACCCAATCGCTAATTAATGTTAAGACCACCGCATCATAGTATCTTTTTTATCTTTCTCTTTGCACCGGCTTCTGGTTGAAGATGGACTTCATTTCTTTCAACCGGAGGGGTGGAATTTGCTGATGTATCCCCCCTTCTTCTCTTCTAGGAACATAGGGCAGGGGCCTGGCAACTTCCTCCCTGTCTTCCTGGCTCAAAATCTTAGCTTTTGTCTGAGGTTTGGCTTTTTGGTTTGCCAAATATATTTTAGCACATTCTATCTGACACTTTGCTAACCATTGAGGCTTTTCTTCAATATTGATCTGCCATTGGTCTATATAGGGATATTGGTCCCAATGACCACTTCCAGTCACAATTTGATGAACCCATGCCATGAGTTCGGGATTCGCCGATCCCTCTTTGGGCCACCCTACGCCAAAGGTGGTCCATTCAGATTCACAGAATCTTTTTAATATGGCTGGATTTGGTCTTGGGTCCCCATAATCCCTAGAAAAACCCTTTTTGAAATTTCCTAACATGCACTGAAGCGGCGTCTGACCAATGCCCTTCTTAGTCTGGTTCCCCCCCATTTCTCCCTAACACACTACCACCGACCTGGAGTGCCGGACATTCCAATGGTCTCTCTTCAGGAAATGCGATGGTTTAACCACCACACAATCCTAACTTTTGAAGACTTAAGGATGCCGCCTTATCTTCTAGGGAGTGATCAGTCTCCTCTTCTGATCCAAACGGGATCAGGTATCCCCTTACAATACTTGCCTGCAGGCGTTCCAGACCCTTCCGCGGATTAAAGACTCATCTGCTACCCTTGGTGGATCCTTGACTGGAGTGCTTCGCTGGCGGGTGAGTTCCCCTCCCTTCCCATCAATGTCTCCCCATAGACAAAGGCCACAGAGCCAGCTTGGAGGAGTCATCGTTAGGAGAGGGGCTACCCACAAGGGCAGTCCATCTGGAAGGTCAATGGCCTCTTCCTAAAAGTCCCGGAGGAATCGCCATAAATCTTGTGGAAAACAAAAGGAACTTTTACAAATTCCAGAGGGTTTAGCAGAGAGATTTATTGCGCATGTTCAGAAGCAATAGAGACAAGCAATTCTGAACCCCGAGGGCAGGTTCAGGCTTCAGTTTTATACTTTCTCTTTCTCAGGAACAAAGGACTACACATTTATGATACACATTGTATTACATTAGGTTAGTTTCTCACAGGCATACAATGGACAGTTTTGCTACATACATTGTCTCCGAGTGCAATGCGCATTTGGTTAGTCACATATTGCTAACACAGCATTACTCCAGTAATTATGCAGACACATCTGGTGTAGTATTTTATCATAAGAAGGGGAATTGGAAGATAAAACAAAGATAAGTTTAACCAAGAAAATAAAATACTTAGGGACCTGGCTTACAGCGAAATGCTCCTCAATTAAGGAGGACAATTATGATAAAATACTACACCAGATAAAAAAAGATTTAGAAAATTGGGAAAATTTGCAAATTTCATTTTTAGGGAGGACCGCTATGGTCAAAATGAATGTATTGCCAAAAATATTATTTCTGTTCCAGGTTATTCCAATAAAATTAGGGAAAACATTCTTTCAAGAATTAAATAAATTGATCACTAAATTTATACGGCAAAGGAAAAAAACCAGGATTAAATTAAAACTCTTGCAAGACACGAAAGATAAAGGGGGATTGGCATTACCAGAGTGGGAAATATACTACCAAGCATCAAGCTTAACTTGGCTAAAAGATTGGATGGATTTGAAAAATACTAGAGTCTTAACAATAGAAGGACATGATTTGCAAGCAGGGTGGCATGCATTCCTATGGGACGAAAAACATAAGATACACAGATATTTTCAAAGACACATAGTTAGGAATGCATTGCTAAAGACTTGGAAAAAAATAAAACAAAAACATTATACAAGAATTCCAATGTGGTTATCCCCAACAGAAGCTTTGAAATACCCAAATCTATTGGATATAAATAAGATAATTAGATACAAGGAATTAGTAAATGAACAGGGAAATTTGAAAACAAAACAAGAATTGGAACAAGACATTGGCAGAGAGATTGATTGGTGGACATTTACACAAATTCAATCTAAATATACAGAGGACAAAAAATTATATGAAATTCAAAGGAGCTGCAAGAATTGGATAAAATTATATATGAAACAGAAATAAAATTAATTAGCAATTTATATAAATACCTATTGAAATATAAAATGGAAGACGAGGTTGTCAAAGACACAATGATTAGATGGGCAAAAAATTTCGGATATAATATAGAATTGGAGAAATGGGAAAAAATATGGGAAATAAATATAAAATTGACTATGTCGGCGGCATTCAAGGAAAACCAGTTGAAAATGTTTTACAGATGGCATCTTCCACCTGCCAAACTTGCCAAGATGTTCCAGAATAACTTGCCAACATGTTGGAAATGTAAAAAAGTACATGGAACATATTATCATCTATGGTGGACATGCCCAGTTGCAAAAAAATACTGGTCTACAATAAGAAAATGGATCCAAGAAATAATAGACCAGACTGTAGACTGGAAACCAGAGATCTTTTTGTTGGGTATTTTAAATAGAAAATATAGTAAAGAAATATGGTACTTAATTTTACATATAATAACTGCGGCAAGAATAGCATATGCACAGTGCTGGAAAAATGAGAATATACCATCAGAGGAAGAAGTAATAAGAAAAATCCTGGACTGTGCTGAGATGGACAAATTAACAAAAGAGATAAAAGAAAAGGAAGACACAGCCTATTATATAGTATGGAACAAGGTGTATGTCTGGTTGGAGACTAGAAATAATAGAGGAGAATAAATATGGAAAGGTCAAAAGTGAAAATATGTGTACACATGAAGGAAGAAAAATGTAAATAAGAAATAATGGGGCTATAAAGACAAATATTTAAAGAAGAATAAGGGGGAAATGTAAATATTAGATTACCATTACGTAATTGCTGTAAAAAAAAGGAGGTATATATTGTGTGTGTATGTGTGTTATGTGTTGCTTTGTTCTGTTTTGTCTTGTTGGTTAAAAATAAAAATTTAAAAAAAAATTATGCAGACACATCATTATTTTAGTGATTTTTCATTATTCCACATTACTTTTGTTTTCAGCAAATCTAGAAAAAAAGTATTTTCAAACTAACAGCTTTTCATTTGATTTTCTTGTTTCATTTGGTCCTGAAAGTGCTAGAAGAGTTATTAAGCAAGAAATCTGGGAAATGGAATTTCAAAATATTCATGGCTGATTTTCTGTCATTCCTATGTTGGGGGATCTCAAAAAACAGATTTACCGCTGCCTCTAACTTTTCAATGTATTATAATACTGAAATACCATTGGGCCTCCACATATCTATCTTGTGAATATGGATTTTGCCACTCAAATTCCTTTATATTATCCCTTAACAAGTACGTGACTTTGACTGTCCCACTGCTATGAAGACTAATTTTTGTATGTTATTTATTATTGGATCAGAATACAGCAGCATATTAAATTTTGCACCATTAGTTGCCTTACAGACCAGCTGCTAGTAAAGACAAATTAATGTGCTATACTTGGTAGTAAATTGCATTGGGGAGGGGGGGAAACCTTAAGAGATGAAGCTTGGTTATTCGGAATTAGAAGTTCTTTGCCATCTTTGAAATCATTTCTTTCTTTGATTAAAACAATTGTAGTATGATTTCCTGAAATACATAAATGTTCACCACTTTCGTTTCCTACCCTGTTTCCTAGAAATGTTTTACTTGTATAATGTTACCCATCTGGATTCTAGACATTTTATAAATAATACAAACCTTCCCATGTAAGAATATAAGGTCTTTCTAATTATAATTTCCTTGAATAAAATTATATTACCTATGTGTGTATTGCGTATGTATGTGTGTAGATCAGTGGTTCTCAACCTGTGGGTCGGGACCTCATTTGGGGTCGAACGACCATTTCACGGGGGTCACCAAACAACGCAGTCCACCATTTTTTCCCCCTTTTCCTTAGCTGTGCTACTCCCTTTTATTCTATTGGCTTTTGAAAGCCAATAGAATAGACTCTCTTGAATAGAGTCTAATTCTATTGGCTTTCAAAAGCCAATAGGAATTGTCCAGGCTGTCTCTGCCCTGCTGAGCCCGCCAAAAGTCCCATTCTGCAAACGGTGCTGCACCAGTTGAGCAGTCCTCGACTTACGACCGGTTGAGTAGTCCTCGACTTACGACCGGTTGGGGGTCACAGCATTAAAAAGGTTGAGAACCACTGGTGTAGATGGATGGATGGATGGATGGATGGAGAGAGGGGGGAGGGAGGGAGGGAGGGAGAGAGGGAAAGAAGGAGAGAGGGAGGGAGATGTTGTGGCCTGATGGTCAAGACACTCACCTGCCACTTGGAAAGTTGAGATTTCAATCCTAAGTAGTAGCAGATGTTTCTCTACTAGGGCACAAAGAAAAAAAATCTGCTGCAAGCTGTGTACATCACATATGTGCACGCATGTATGCATGTGTACATAGACACAGATACACATGTAATATACACAAATACACACACATACATGCACATATATGATTTTGACTGTCTGTTCAAAGATGCTGCAAGTGGATCCATTTCTTTATGATAGCGCTAAATCAGAGTTTGTCATACTTTCAAAGATAATATTTCTTTCTTTCTATTTTTATTTATTGCCGTTTTTGCTTCTGTCTATATATAGAAACTAACAACTTTTTAGACTTTGTCTTCTTCCTGTTTTCAGTTAACGTTTTCAATAATGGGGTCTATCTGAATATCCTGACTGATACTTTTACCCATTTCTACATCTACCAAGCACTCTTTGAGCACTTCCACCACAAATGAAAAGACATGGCTTCCCCTTTGCAGTTATGCAAGGAATTTAAAGATTTATTTTTAGTTATATATGCCAGTTTCGTTAGTCATATACCATGCGTACTGTATACATTAAAAGAAAAGACTTCATTTCAATTCCTTGGAAGGACTCTGCAGACCATTTCCCCGAAATTGTTTCAGTTTAATGAAAAAAAAATCTTCCAAGAAAATAACGTAGAAGTTAAACATACTGTAATTGAATATATATATTCAAATTTAATAAGCTAACTATTGCTTATTTGTCAGAAAGAAAAAATATATTTGTAAGAAATAAATCTAGATAAACTGAGAGCAAGACATTTTTGTTGTATTTGATGTAAGGAAACTTAATGTCCCTCATTCTAATTCCCTGATTACTGTTTGCCCTATCACATTCTTCAAAGAAGTCCACAGAAAAGGGATGAACCAGCTCTTTCCAGTGCTAGTATGTCCTCTATTTTGTTTTTATTTCAAACAGCTGCCTCTCCGTTTCTATAATGGAAAACAATTATGTCACAGGAGTCAGAGGACTAGAAACAGACAATCCCTCATTGTCAAGGATCCTATAAGCAGCAGCTGGCTATTTCCTTTGAAGAGCACTTCCTCTGGACCAGGCTTTCCAAACTTATGTGCTCAGATGTGGTAGTGTGCAAGATCCCATAATTTCCAGCAAGATAACTGTGGGAGAGGAGGTGATCAGCTGTGGGAAAATTGCCCTATATTGACTTCCAGAGGCTGCAGCTCTAGTCACCTTCTCTGTTGAGGTCTCTATCCATTGCAATAACTAAAGACCAAGCAAAAAGAAAAGGGAAGGAGAGGTTAATTACAGCTATCTAGAAGGTTAATGACCAAATATTTCTGCAAAGATTCCTAGAATTTCTTATTTGAATGTATTCAGGGAATATACTTGTTAGTTCCTCTCTTTCTCCACCAGACAACTCAGCACCTGTTTAAGTATTCCTTTTCTTATTTACAGTAGCCATTCAGCTCACAGATCCAACAGTGAACTCCAGAAGGAGGGAATGGGATGGAATAGAATATTTTGGATTTGATTTTATGAAGTGATGGCATTTCACCGATTTGCTCGGCTCTGATCATTAGAGCAATGTGTTTTGAGAAAGTGCCTGAATCCCCAAGCAGGAAGTATTGACCTCCATGCCTTCAAGTGAGTGGGTGGGCTGTGAAATAATTGCCAATTGTTTTGCAAAGCAATCTGAAAGGTATACTTTGGTTAAAGCTGTTATCAAAGTCAAATGCCTGTTTATGTCTTTGCACAGCTACAAATGGTTTGTTATAATCCTGAACAAGAGATGAAAATAACCTGCAGCCTGCTGCATTAACAGAGGGATAGAATCAAGATCACGTGAAGTGTTAATACCACTTTACAATACCTTGGTAAGGCTACACTTGGAATACTGCATCCGGTTTTGGTCACCACGATGTAAAAAAGAGATTGAGATTCTAGAAAGAGTACAGAGAAGAGCAACAAAGATGATTAGGGGACTGGAGGCTAAAACATATAAGGAACGGTTGCTGGAATTGGGTATGTCTAGTTTAATGAAGAGAAGAACGAGGGGGGACATGATAGCAGTGTTCCAATATCTCAGGGGTTGTCACAAAGAAGAGGGAGTCAAGCTATTCTCCAAAGGCAAGACAAGAAGCAATCTAGAACTAAGGAGAAATTTTCTGACAGTTAGAACAATTAATCATGGAACAACCTGCCTCCAGAAGCTGTGAATGTTCCAACACTGGAAGTTTTTAAGAAGAGACTAGACAGCCATTTGTCTGAAATGGTATAGGACAGTGATGGCGAACCTTTTAGAGACCGAGTGCCCAAACTGCAACCCAAAACCCACTTATGCATCGTCAGGTGCTGGGTGGGCATGGCCCACTGGATGGGCGTGGCTGCAGTGGTAATGGCAGACTGGGTGGGACTAAAAAGTTCAATCAATCAATTCCAACTTTGCAAGATCTTTTTTTTCCTGCAAGAAGTCGAAATTGACCGATTGATTGAACCTTTTTTTTTGTACACGGTGGCGGAAGCCTAAAGTGAAAAGGTTTTATAAAACCCAGCTGAAGGCCTAGGACTGGGGCAATGGCACACGTGCCCACAGAGACGGCTCTGAGTTCCACCTCTGGCACCCATGCCATAGGTTCGCTACCACTGGTATAGGATTTCCTACCTGAGCAGGGGGTTGGACTAGATGACTTCTAAGGTCCCTTCCAACTTTATTATTATTATTATTATTATTATTATTATTATTATTATTATTATTGTTGTTGTTGTTGTTGTTGTTGTTGTTGTTGTTGTTGCTGCTGCTGCTGCTGTTGCTGTTGTTACAGGCTGATATTTCATTTTGTATTATCAATAGATTGTCTTGGAAGACTCTGTAGAGGCAAAACCTACTGGCATTGGCCTTGAAGTTAAGCCAAACAGCAATTGCAGCAATTTATTTTGGCTTCCGCATGAAATGACCCCAAATAACACCAAAAACAAGAAGCAAGCAGATGTTCAGCCTACAGCACTGAGATAAAATTGTAGTAGTTACCCAAACCAAGAGGTGAATCAACAGTCACTTTGACAATTATGGTTATATCGGTAGGTTAGGTTGTGGAAACATTGGTTCTGCAAATATTGTTAAATCACAACTCCTGGCATGTCTTAACATTGACTAATGTTTGCTGGCTCAGGACCCTGAGACCAACATTATCCTTGTTCGTAGACCAGGCAAAGTAGGTTGTGTGCCCTACCAAGAGAAAAAAAGCCTTTTCTATTTAGTGTATAGTTTTGTAGCATTAGGCCAGTTTTAATGAATAACATCCTACTCATCATGAAATTTTCATATTAACACATGTGGGACACACAAGCCAAAGTTGCCAGAGTTTTAAACAACATCACTGGCACCAGCCAGTTGGTAGATATTTGACCTCATACTGGTGACTTCTGCTTCAATCTCAGAGCTCCAGACTCCTGCTTGGGTTGTCTATCTCTAGCTTTAGTCTTGAGCTATGCTGCAATATAGAGACTTACTTCGCCTCTCCCCTGCTCTAATTCTATGATTTATAAGACTTATCTTTCCTGAGGATGAGACAGGTACAAATGATCATAGAAAACAATGCATACTTTAAAATCTATGGTCACCTGTGCAGTGCAGAGGAAAAAAAAACTTGCAAAGGAACTCTCAGAGGCAAACAGTGCATGGCCCAAAAATCTCCATCATCAGCATCTTTGATTTTCTAACTTCAAAGAGCCAGTGAGGGGAACAGGATGCTCATTTGATAAATGAAGCATTGCTTTGGAGAAGGCTGTTTAATTTTGTATCCCCCTTGCTCCAAAGCCAATAGCAGCTGGGGAGCAGTTTAGATTGGCTTCTACAGATCAAATAAGTAGATCTTTGAAGAAATGGCATTGGGAAGGAATGTGGCAAAGATTTAATCAGAGATCCCATCATGGTTTCCTTTTCTCAAAGAGAGCAGTAGTGAAAAGGTTAATAGCCATTCCAGTTGAAAATAACTTTTCAGAATGCAGCACTGTAAACAATTATCTGGTAACCAATCTCTGAGAAAAAGGAAATGGGAACATGGCAAAGGAAAAGAAAAAAGGCACTAGAGCTCAGAGAGGTCACTGAAGCACATGAGAGAGGGAATACCTTCATTTTCATAGGCTGTGAAAGAACTGACCTGACACATGGAGTAAATTTCTGCTAGAGTATCACTTCGGCTGCTAAAGCTCACTTGATCCCTTCAGGGATTGCCTGCTGTTTAAAGAAACTGTCCAAAAAGCTACCTTCTCAGCTTGATTGTAAATGAAAACAACTAGGATAAGGAAGTCAATCTGGGCAATTCTGTTTTTTGGGTTTTTTTTGCAAAATAAGGAGATGGGCCATAGCTGCTACTATCCCAAAAGAAATATGCTTTGTAAAAATAAAGGCATTTTGTGTTCTGAGAAGAAGGGACAATTGGAGAAAGCTTCTTCTGAAAGAGTCACCTTGTAAGTGGGAGAAAGTGACTGCCACCAGAGTGTTTTGGAAAAAGAGAAATGGCCTTAAGGGACCCTCTGTAGACCAACATAAATTTCATCATTAGATTATAGACTTACCTCCCTCATAAAGTGCCTGAAAGAGCTCCTCTACAGCTAAAGCTAACTCCCATCTGCAAAAACAAAGCAAAACAGAGTAGACTTGGGCCTTCAGTTGGAAAAAAAAAAAAACATCATTAATTGTGTAGTATGTGAGGGGGAGCTGTTTAGGAATTCCAAACCTGAGAACATAACAATCTTTCCAACAGTCCTGGATGGAAAGGAAGGAAATGAGTCTACTTTTAATCACTGCCTGACTTGGTGGTGAGCTTCCTGACATTTCTTCCTGCTGGTGCTCTCCAAGAATTGCAGGAAATTAAGCATCTACTGTGGAAAGAAGAAAAAGAAGCCACACTACACTTAGTGAATAAGTTGTAAACATCTCCACCCTGGAGAGGGAACACTTAAGTGTTGCTGAGAAAATGACAAGTGAGATTATTTTAGTAACAGTTCTCACAGCAGAAACATCTGATTTCCACACTGAAAATTCCAGTTGCTTTAATCAAGAGAAATAAAGTAAAATAGATGTTTCAAGATGAGACAAGGTGAGCATCATTGTGATGATGTATAATAAGCGAGTAGAAACACAAAGTTCTTTTTTTAAAATTCCATGTGAGGGATTTTGTACTAAATGATATTTTTGTTAGCTCAGTCATTCACTTCAACCATCTACTACATGAGAAGTGAGCCTTGCTCCATGCCCATGTTTAACCACTTCTATTTTTTTTTAGTTCAAGCTATCCCGATTGCTTTACAATTTTTAAAAGGTCTAAAAATGCCATAATCACAACTGTTTATGGAAATTGTCTAAGCATCATAAGGCGTAGAGGTATGGAGAAATCATTGAGGAAGATACGGGACAACCATTAGGAAAATATGAACTTAGTTCAGAACACAGGAAGGAGTGAAAAAGAAACTCACGACAGGTGAGCCTGACCCTCTTTAGTGTAAGACAAGGGGAAAGAGAAACACTGCCAGACTATCAAGAGTTTGTTTATAACCTCACAATAATTAAACAAAGTCTATTATTTCTTGTTGTAGCCGTTTCTTGGAAAGGGCTGTGTTGAAAGAGTGGCCAAGGTTTATGGTTCTGTAGCTCTTTAGCCACTATCTGTGAGGAGAAGGGGATCAAAAAGGTCAAGATGGCAACTGCAACTATGCAAATCACAAGTAAGCAACAAGGGGTTAGGACATTGATTGCACAGTTACGGCTGCTGTTTTGACCCCCACTCCAGGTTTCTCTTTAATTTTCCTACTCTGTCCTGTTTCTTGAAAATATTCTGCACAGAAAGTTGGCACTTGTCTTTATGATTTGAAAATTTCCAAGGACCACAGAAGAAGAGGCAAGAATAATGTAAATGCCAAAATCTAAATTATATAAAGTGAATATTCTGCCCTAGCACTGTAATCAAGCTTTATCCAATGAAGAGGCTTAATTTAACATGACACACAAGCTTCTCAAGCAACAATAATCTGGAACAGAGCAAGTGTAGCTGTTGAGCTACATTACAGGATGAAGCGTCAGAGTTGTTTTCTCTGTATTAACTACTATTCTTCCACCAGAGTAAGCTATTTCTTTGTATGTACAGCTATACTGCTCCCTCAATCATGCCTCCTCCTCCCCCCCCCAACATAGTTAGAATGAGATTTCATTATGACAAGAAATGTAGCAGCTACAGGAGTCCAGCTATACTGGATTTAATTCATATCCACTGTGTCAATGACATTATCCAATCATGTCATCTTTGCCATCCCTTTCTCCTTTTGCCTTCAATCTTTCACAACATCAGACTATTTTCTAATTAGTCGTCTTCTCCTCTCATTTGGTATCCAAACTATTTGAGCTTCAGCTTCACTATCATTCCTTCCAAAGAACAGTCAGGGTTGATTTCCCCTTTAGGATTGACTGATTTATCTCCTTGTAGTCCAGGAGACTCTCAAGTGTCTTCTCCAACACCACAATTCGAAAGCAAGATACATTAAGTACATTGCTGGGAAAACACATTCCTAAAGTTGGCTCTAAAAGAGTGAGTAGCCTTATAAAGCATACAATGTGGTGGATTTTCAGGGAGTACATGGCACAATTCATCTCTCTCCCAGATACAGGAACCTACTCTCCAGAACAGACATACTACTGAAACCAAGAGTGGGACAAACCCTTGAAAATAGCAAATATCGGTGTCAGTAAATACATGCCACAGAAACTTTTTCTTTAAAGCTGAACAGAAGAAACCCACAAGCAGTACAGGACAGGTCTGTCAGAAAGGAAGGGCCAGATAGATAGCAAAGGCAGATCAAGCAAGTTGATCAACTACTTCACTTCACCTTATGTACTGTCCAAGGCCATATTTCTTGCTTTGGGGAACTCTCTTTGCCAAAGCTTTGTCAAGCTGTCTTAGCTTGCCAAAAAGTGTGCCTGATTATAGAAGGGACTAAGCAAAATTCTGAAACAATTCATGTACAGTTTTTGTACAGTATATGCATTTGTAGAGTTATAGGTGCTGTCCAAATTGAACTCCATAAATCTTCTATTCAAGAATGAGATTTGTTTTACATTATTTATCAATAAAATTACAAAGAAGTTGAGAAAAGGTGTTGTACATTCATCAATGCTTTCAACCAAATCAGTATCTGAAGTAAATTTGGTATGTTCCTCAAGGAAGGAATCTAAGAATTCTGAGACAATATGGTTTACTGTAAACCATTAAACCTTTTCAGAAGGTTTTGATAAATAAATCTATTTCTTGTTTGGAACTTTATTTATGTATACGTCTACTCTATTCCCTTTCCTTCTATATTATAAGTCCATCAGTATAAAGAAGAATAGGAACTTTGCTCGAGTAGAAAACCAAATGCTACAGCATTCTAAATCCTACAGATTATGAAAGCAGGGGGTCCTCCTGTAATAGGAGAGTGCATGAGCAGAAGGGGGTTTTCACCACAGTATGTGCTTGAATGGAGGAGCATGTGATAATCTGAAGATCCTCTGGTGCAAACAGTTACTTGTGAAAGTAACTATTGGATGTAATCCAGAAAATTTTGCTTCCTCATTGTTGTGAGTTACCGCGAGATACAGCCCTGTTTTTATCTTTATATTAGACAGTTTTCTCTCTGCTTCAACAAAAAATACCCAGGATGCCTTGAACCATTTTCAGGCCAAACACATTCTACTTTTTATTACACATATTACATTCTTAAATAAAAATGCGTCACATAACTTTTTTTGCATAGATATCTTACAATATACCAATTTAAAAAAGAATTATGAAACAGACCAGTAACAAAAATAAATCTTCTTTTTCATTAATAATCTTGTAACATTAACATACCACCATCATATAATACAAATAATATTTTTAAATCTTAAGACTTTTGTACAGCCAAAAAAATGGACAAAGTAATATATTCATATATTTATATTTATATTTATATATTTATATATATAAAAAGCTTAAAAAAAATAAACACCAACCAAAAAATGGGAGAATGGAGGGCTACCATTTTGGGTACTTCTGCGATATACTAGAGCCATGTTTTTCAACTTTGCCAACTTTTAAGATGTGTGGACTTTAATTCTCAGAATTCTCCAGCTAGGAAGGGGGATTTCTGGGAGTTGAAGTCCACACATCTGAAAATTAGCAAGGTTAAGAAACACCGTACTAGAAATACCTGAGAGAACGAGGCTGAAGGTTCCTCCAAATGCACTTGGCAGAAACATCTGATGAAAGAAAAGCTGTAGTGCAAAAAGAAAGTCCTTCAAGAATTGGTGGTGGTTACGCAGATATTGTTTTGAAAGAATGACTGGATTATATATATATATATATATATATAATTAGAATGAAAAAAGGACCTGGTGAATCTGTTACAAATACACCAATCCTTTACTTCCCTAAGCAATGTTCATTGTACCCATTGTCTAAATTCTGACATGCTTTTCCCTTGATATAACTTTAGAAAGATTAAAAGGGGGTTGTTTCAAGGGAGTAATTTCTCCTACCATGCTCCTGGAACCTCTTGCCAGGGGTTCCAGTTCTGGAGGTAATTAATGCTGCTCATATACATCATCAGTCTTTAAGTCAAGACCAGAATCACTGTAGATCAGCTCCTTGAAAGATCTAACTGTATGCTGAATGTGCGCCTCAGCAGATTGAGCACATTACATGTGAAGGACGAAAGAACCACTAATCCATGAAACCCAGTACCTCCTTTATAGTACGAACTACAGCTGGAAAATTGACTGGAAATGGGGGCTGTGGATCTTTGGACTGATGCAACTAGAAGCTAATCTTGATCATGAGGCAATCTTATCAGGATTGTAGCTAATAAGGGGCAAAAGCAAGCTTGCCTACTTTGTTATTCCTTTAGATATTTTTCTGAACTTTCTTAGAATCCAATTTTTTTGTTTGTTTGTTTGGTAGAACTGTGGAATAGGAAGGACACGGGTTTAATGCAATGCTACTTGCTAATTCCATCCCATCCCTTCCCCAATGAATTTGGGGACTGAGAACTACTTCTGGAAAGTGTTACTGCAGACAACAGGATACACATGAGAGATGCCTGACCTCTTTATTTTTTTAACTTGTGTGCAGCCCATCTTGCCTAGAAGGCGGGACCTCTTAACATATTCTCAAACCTTATGTTTTGCCTCTCAATTCAATGCATCATCTCTGCATGTTTCCTCCCTGTCAAAAATATATACTTCACAAGAATAACCTTGCTTTAGAAGCAGCAAATGACTTGATTATGAAGATTGGCAATAAAGCTCAGCTTTGGCTAACCTTGAATTGGGGTGAGATTCCAATTTTTCCTTCCCAATTCAGATTCTGATTGACTTCCAATTGTTGATTTGCAATTTTTCTCACATAGGAGGGTGGAAAAAAGGGGCAATTGCTTGACCAGCTGCTCAAGACATCTAAATATTGTTCACTTTGTAGGTTTGTGCACAATAATCAGCAGATGAGCTTATGCATCTGGTAAGGGTCATGTGAGGAAGAGACAGACCCTGGTACATGATTCTGGATTTGGGGCAGTATTTCTTCTCACCAGGAATGAAGTATTAACTTGCCCATTCTATCCCCAGAAAAGTTATTTACTTGTTATAACCTTTTCATACATTTGTGCATCCAGGCTTCTAGCCTTGTCGCCCTCCAAGTGTGTGGCATCCATGGAATTGGCAGCCATGTAAAAGGCATAATTCCAGCTCTGATGCAGAATTCCTTCAAGTGCAGATGACTCCTGAAGGAACCAGACATGAGCAGAGCCCTATTGTATCCCCACTGGAAGCACTACTCTAAGAGAAGGTGCAGAGAACTCAACACAAGGCAAGGAAGGAGGTGAGCTGAAAACTACTACTACCTTGTGTGCTCAGCCTCTCCGCTCAGCCAATATTTGTGATATTCTATAGTGGTTTTTTTTAAAAAAAATCCCTCAAATGTTCTCTTTATACAGTGCTCATTTTGGGATAAAATACTGTTCTCAAAATGATACCATTATAGTACTCTCAATTTGTTGAAGAGATTTTAACCATGTATATACTTACAGTGTTCATTTGCTGATGATACATGCTAGCATAATTGAAGTGCTGTTTAGTTTTTTCTTAGAACTGAGCAACTTCATACAAATTTCACTATATCTGTGGAACTAAAAAAAATTAAAAAATAATACAATGTCTATCAGGTAGTGAAGGATCAATAACAAATGAGTGCTTAAAAACAGTGTTACAATTTTGGTGTTCAGGGATTAGCAGATACAACGTTCAGAAATGCGTAAAATACAAATAACAACAAATAACAATATACTGGATATACTGGACCAGATATATACTCTGGTCTGACCATATGGCCTTCCAGGGAACCATTTATTAGCCACAGGAATAGTAATACAATAAATGAAAATATTAAGTGACAGACGTGTAAAAATATTACTTTCAGGAATGGCTTCCCAAATGGATCTATCAACCATGCTGATTTATTTATCCAGGTAATAATCTGTCACACAGGAATTTAAAAAAAGATGTCCAAGAAATTGTATGTTATATTGATAGGTGATTTTTGCACACTGAAGCCTCAGCAGATAAATAGGTCAATTTAATGTCACTTCCCTCCATGTGACATAAAACTCAGGGTACTTTTGTAAACACTTCCCCCCCCCCCAGTTTTCATTTTGTTTTCTCATGGTATACAATAAAGATACACACAAGCAAAATCATTCCCAATAAGCCAACATTCTTTTAAAATTCACTATCAGTAGTAAGGGCCCTCACTCAAATGAGACAGAAACAAGGATTGTTGATTACTACATCAGGCAGAGTTGGATTTCACTTCATCTATATGGGCTTATATTTTAGATATATTCAAATGTTTTAGCATATGTATAGATATACAGAACTTGGGAGTGTACGCCTGCAATTTGGCCTTATGCCCAATCAACAAATAAAAAAAATATATAAACATAGTTCAATTTAAAAATATGAGTATGCCAACATTAACTTTCAAATCTAAGAATATTTTAGTGTGCTTTTGAAATTACAGCAGGTTAATACATTCTTGATACTTTTCCCCTATTGTTCGAGGGCTTTTAAGAAAAATGAAGCATTTACTGTATCCCTACTGAGAAAGAGAGAGATCCTTGTTGCTGAAAGAGGTCGGGTGTGTGTGTCAATTCTTGCTATTTTTCTGAAGATAGCCCCTATCTTATTTTAGCAAGGAAAGGCAAAATCCTTAACACATATACACACATATACTCACACACATATATACACACACACACAAACAAACACACAGAGATGGCCCTCTGTTAAGTGTTTAAAAGAAAACAAGAGTTTTCTTTTGAATCCAATTATCATGGGGTCTACCAGAAATGTGTAGTACAAGTTAGCATGTAGAGTATGCCATGCAATTAACCGATTCTAAATTTTCCAGAGTATATTGTAAACTGGCATACTGAAAACAGGATGCAGCAGACACTGCTGCTGCTGAAGCAACAAGAATACTGCTCAAAGGCCTGAATAAAATGCCTCAGATTGCTTTTGCCTGTGTTTTCTATCCAAGCTTCCTTATATTAGACTAGGAAGTTAGCTACTCTCTCGTGCCTTGCCATTTCCTTTCCTTGAGAGCATTAATAAAGACTGGGTGGTAAAACCCTGCCATCATTGCTGTTAGAAAATCCTTTTATAGGATGGTAAAAGCCAAACTAAGATCTGCTAAATGATGTAATTAAGTCCTTGAAATATTTACACACTCTCTCCCTCAATTTCTGTTGAATTTGTAATAGAAATACAGAACCCATTAAAAATCATTTTTGGTATGGCACAACCATCACACATGATTATCTTTCGGTAAGTGGTCAAAAGAAAATCTCAAGAACAAATTACTATTTGTGTTTGCATTTCCCACGGCTCATTGTCCAGAATTCTTCCTCCTCCTTCCTGCCTCCCACGTTTGTGAGACTGTCAGTATGATTAGGATTGCAGACAGATCCTATCACCATCAGCGGATGAGGTGGTTCACTGGGAAGTAAGAGGCTGACAAGTGCTAACAGCCTTACAGACAAACATTGCAAACTAGGGGCAGAGGCAGATGGCTAAGCTGTGATTGATTTGCTGTACCAACTTATAGGCTTCTGATTATTTATTTATTTGGTGGTGCTGGCCAGCTAATAACTATATAATCTACTGTGGAAACATAGCAACCTTATGCATCAACTATGGATTAACATCTCTTCCTCATTCATCTTCTCACAGGCTGAGAGCAGATCCCTTTCACATTTACTCAGGAAAAGGCCCTGTCCGATTTAGTTGACTTACTCCCAAGTCCCTATACTTCAAATCTACTTTGAGCAGGGAGAAAAAGAACAAGCTTTTTGTTCCCCAGATTATTTCAAGTCCTGTTAACAGAAAATTTTCTGAGACTTCTAATATCAATAAGAGTTAGATGAACACAATTCCTTTTGGTTTCTCGGGATTCCCATTCCCATCTGTTTCAGATTATTTAAAGAAGCAAACTTATTTTAAATTTGTCTGTTAACTCTTATAGTCTCAAATTAAATACTAGATGCAACAGAACTGAATATTTTGGTCTATGGGTATTACTTAAGGACTATGTCATGACAGTTACATATATATTTGTGTGTGGGTTCGCGCACATACAGATATATACGTACATACATACATATCTATATACATACACACATACGCACAGATACATGCATGCACATTATGCAAGACTCTACAAGAAAACAAAAAAATCTTGACAGTAGAGATTTTTCAACTAATTCGTTGTCTAGATGTTCAGTCTTCTCTCTTCTCTGATATTCTAAAACTGTCACACAATATTCCAATACCAAGTTACAGAGTTCTCAAAATTCCCAGTGAACACCTCCATAGAACAGAAAAGATGCAAACACGGTTAAAGAGAACTACAAGATTGTCAGCAAACAATGCTCCAAGATTTCTTCACCACAAATCTTTGGAATAAAACTTAGATCTTGCCCTTATTCTTAAATCCTAATGTTAATTGCCTCTGTAAAGATTATTCGTGTTTTTGGTCTGTATCTCATCCCATCATTAAGGGCTACATTTTGTATTTGCAATATAAATGGTTGTTGATAGTCACAGTATGTGCAGGGATTATCTGAGCCCGAGGAGAGGACTGTTTGGAACCTCAGTAGCTGAACAAAATTACAGATGGAAAGAAAACCCCAAGAGCTAAATATTATGTATCAATGTCTGTACTTCCATTATATATTTGAAGATATAAAAAGTTATTTTAATGTTTCTGCATCCTAAACATGAATTAGGAAATTAGTGAACAGTCAACAAGTCAAAAAACAGTCCAAAGTAGGGCAGTGAGCTAGTTTAGTGAGTGGAAGAGTAGCAACCAAGAGAGTTACAGGCCATTCCGTTTCTCAGCACATCTTGCAGGGATGGTCCCAAATAAACTATACACAGCCATTCTGAATCACTATCTCTTTACCTGCATGAGAGATAGTTTGAAAAGGCAGTCTTTGGAATAGTGCCAGCTCCAACTAGCTAAAAATAAACATAATGCATATATAGAGAAAGGTGTGTGTGTGTGTGTGTGTGTGTGTGTGTGTGTGTGTAGATAAGTACAGAAAAAAATAATCTAATTTGACCACAACCATCAAACTATCTACAAGATCCAAGCATGAGCCTGATGCCTTCATTGTTCATTAAATAGTACAACCATTGCTTGAAGTGGACCCATGCATCTACTTTTTTTTTTGTTTATTTAAATTAGTTGTTTGGAAAGAAGTCCGTGCTTACCAAAAAGCCAATCCTTTCATTCAACTGCATTGTGTTGGACAAGTGGGAATTACACCACCTTAATAAAATGGGAAAGGAGAATCTAGGCAGGCATTTTCTCTTTTAGAAAACATGTAGGAGACTAATATTAAAAGCAAGAGATTCTCACTTCTAACTTGCATGATTGCAAGTATTCTATTGATCTGCTTAACCCAAAATATTTCTTTTGCGAGTGCCAGACACACACATATATGTTACCACGTATTTCACCAAGTAAAAGGCTAGCAACAACAAATAACCAGAATTGCTAACCATTTTTTGTGGGTTGCCACAAGCATGCTCCCCAGGGTGCAGAAGGAAAACCTGAAGTCAGGCCTGAGTTAGAGAATCCAAGACAGATATCCAGGTGTGTAAATGAGTTCTCAGAAACTTGGAGAAAAGGTTCAAAGCTTCAAATAAGCTTTCTTTCAAGTTTTCATTAAGTAATTAAATAGGAAGTTTGAACTATGGCAATATGGTGATGCCTCCAAAGATATACTGTGATCTTGCTCAGGGATTTCACTTGTCAACCATTATGCAATCATATCAGCAGTTTTCACAGTTCCTCTGTGCACGGGATGTGCAATAACCAAATACCAAAATTAAAGGAACAAAACAGTATGCCTCTCTCTTTCTTTCTCTCTCTCTCTCTATATATATATACTGTATATCTCCTTGACAAAGTCCATAACAGCTGAAGCAAGAAAACTGGTAGGTGTATCCTAGGATCTCTGCAGAGTGTACTGCCAATTAAGGCCATTGGTATTGACTTAAACAGATCTTGACAGCTCAGTTCTATGAAAAAACAAAACGGAGCAGATCAAGAAGTTCTTGAGGAATCTTGATGAATCATTAAGGGTGCCTTAAAACAAAATCAGCAGAAAGGAACCAAGACAGTAATGTTTTGGCTACCAAACTGGAATTTGGTTTTTCTAGGTCATTAGTTTTCCTTCCAAAATTATCTCCAAAGAAAAGTTAGTGCTACAAATATGCAAGTCCAAAATAGGTTTCCCCCCTCCCCAGTCAAGTTGCACCAAGAAGCGAGTTACATATATGCTGCTTCTATGCTGTTCACCTGCAAGGAATTCTCTTCCATCTGCTTTGATTTCCATTGGCAATAAACAGGAGCAAATATTTTCAAGTTCTGAAGTGCTGTAAGCAACTGTGTCTTAAAGACTTCCCCTGCATCCCTTTTCCTAATCACGTCTTCTGCCTTTCAGATGGGCAAGGCGTTGGAAACAGATGAATGTACTGCTGAGTGCATGACAGCATTTAGTGCATGTTGTGTGAATAGAAGTTTACATGTGATCAAATTCTCTTCTTCTGGAAGGTAGCAAGAGACAGGCAATTGGGTTCCACCCTTCTCCCCATGACGCTATGGTCTAACTGCATCCGGGTCACACTGTATGGTCCCTATTATTTAGATGTGCCTCTTCATATGGAGGGCAAGATGATCAGACCTTGAAAAACACCTGCAAAGTAAACACAAAAGTAAAATCAGTATCAAAGACAATTATACAGTTCGGATTTCACCTCTCAGTGTACAAGTTTGTAATCAGCTGGAAAACTCTCTGCTTATTCCTACATAATAAAATTGCAGAAATTGTAAAGCACCCGATATGTAGTAAAAATGGTATGAGTAATAAATGAATACAAATTTATCTGGCAATTTTAATTCTATTACATCCATTTCAAAATCTACTTTTTTAGCTCTCATGGTTATGGAAGAATCTTTAAGAAGAAAAATGGGTGAGGCAATCTCATAATTTTGAAGTATGTATGTATGTATGTATATAGATAATTGCTCCGTAATAACTTTAGTCAGTGGCGTACAACTGAAAAGGGTGGCTGGGAAGAAATGCCCAACTAATCATGGTCCAGCCAGAAGGAAGCACAATAATCATTGAAAAAAAAGACACAAACTTGGTCCCATTTATGGAGAAGCTATTCTCAAACAATATGTAGTATTTTAAAGGACCATTGTGTGCTATTTATTTACAGACAGCTCCTACTGCAATAAAATTTGAGCCCACTAAAATACTTTAAACAATCTTCTACCTAAGAGCAAAGCATTCAGAAATATGCATATATATTCATAGTTCAAGCTGATATCACTCTTAAGAGCTTCATGTCACCAAGGATGACCATATTTGGGCTGTAGAAATTCATAAAAGAGACGAGGTGGCGCAGCAGTTAGCGTGCAGTACTGCAGGCCACTTTAGCTGACTGTGTTCAGCAGGTCAGCGGTTCAAATCTCACCGGCTCAAGGTTGACTCAGCCTTCCATCCTTCCGGGGTAGGTAAAATGAGGACCCAGATTGTTGGGGGCAATGTAAATAAATATATATATACATATATATATATATATATATATATATATATATATATATATATATATATACACACACACACACACACATTGCTTACTGGTGTACACCGCTTAGAGAGTGCTCGCAGTTAAAGCGATATATAAGTCTCATAAATAAATAAATAAATAAATAAATAAATAAGGTCACTAAATAGAAAAGAGAGATATGAAAAACTATAATTCTTTGTTGTCAATTAGCAGTCATCTGGTTTTTGGCAGCCCAGCTATGGTAGCCCTAAACAAAAGCACTGTGATGATCTATGTCCGCTTCCTCATTTGCCTCTAACCACAGCGCAAACTTTGCCTCAATATCTGCTTTTTTCCTTCCATGTCCTCCTGACATTGTTTTGGGGGTCAAACAACCCTTTCACAGGGGTCGCCTAAGACCATCGGAAAACACATATTTCCGATGGTCTTAGGAACCAAGACACCGCTTCGCATCCGTCTCCGTATGGCCTCCTCCGCCATTTGCAGACAGAGAGAGAGAGAGAGAGAGAGAGGCACTTTCGCTTCCCTTCTCTCTCTCTCTCAGGCAGACTTACCTCCTGCAGGGCTCCTGATTGGCCCTGTGCCCAGGTGCCCCACCCCCTGGGAGAAGCGCGGCCAGGGCCTCGTGGCTGGGGAGCCGCCCAGGGAAGCCCCGGGATCCCTGCTGGGAGCGGCCCACTGGAGGCTACGCTGAGCGGGCCAGCCCTCCCACAAGCTGTGGCCCAAGGGAGACCAGCCCCTGCGATCCCGAGCCAGCCCGACCATTAGACCCGCTGGCCAGGAAGGCACGCCGAGTCCAGGCTGCCAGGAAGGAAGAAGGAGGTTCAGCAAAGGTAGGAGAGGAGAGCTGCCTCCTGCAGCCCAGTGCTGGCGGCGGCTTCCTTGCCCTCCTCTTCCTCCTCCCCTTCTTCCTCCTGCTGCCCCCAAGGTGGCTCGGGCGGGCGCCGGGGCAAGAGGGGTGCCTGGGGGGGAGCAGCCGGGCACCAGCCCCCACCGTGACTCCATCGATGGACGGAGGACAAGGCCAGGCAGTGTGTAGTCCCGGCAGGGGCGGCATCCAGGCTGGGGCGGCAGGGACCCCCAACGATGCAGCAGTGGCCGCCGCAGCCGCTGCCTCCCGTCCTGCTCCCCCTCCCTGCCTGTTCAGCTGAGGACATGGCGGAGGCCGGGCCGGGGGCGGTGGGGACCCTCAACAATGTTGCCATAAGAGAGAGAGCGAGGGGGGGAAAGAGAGAGAAACAGAGGAAAAGAGAGAGAGGAAGAGAAAGAGAGGGGAAAGAGAAAGAGAAAGGGAGGAAACAGAGAAAGAGAGAGAAAAAGAGAGAGAAAGAGAGAGAAGAGGGAGAGGAAAGAAAGAGAAGAGAGAGGGAGGAAAAAGAGAAAGGGAGGAAATAGAGAAAGAGGAAAGAGAGAGAGGAGAGAGAGAGGAAAGAGAAAGAGAGGAAAGAGAGAAAGAGAGAGGAAAGGAAGAGGGAGAGGAATGGCACTTCTTCAACCAGATTGGGCGAAGCCAGCGGAATAGCCTTCCTGTCCCCCTCCCCGGCCAGCTGGATGGGGGGTTGGGAGTCACCACAACATGAGGAATTGTATTAAAGGGTCGCGGCATTAGGAAGGTTGAGAACCACTTCTCTAAAAGAATGCAAATGACCAGCTGTCTGCAAGGAGTATAAATCCTTCCACTCGCCACCATCCAGTCAGAGCTGAAGAAGCTTCTTGGATGAGAAGCGAAATATCTTCAAAGAAAAACCAGAAAGTCCAGTTGCCTCTTGAAAAAGCATCTTTGGGACAGTGTGTTTGCCATGCAAATAATAATAACAACACTGTGGCACTGGGAACTGCCAAAGCCAAAATGGAGTAGACAAAATCATATTCCCATTAAATCAAAGCTTTGCCTGATTCGTATGATAGTTGTAGAGCTCTTGCATAAGTTATCAGAGATAATAAAAAGGGTAAAAAATACAATCACACAAATTTCTCTTGACAGCAGAACCAATGACAACCAGTAATGCACCCAATGGAGACAAAAGTAGTACACACCTGACGCTACCTAGCACTCACTCCTATCTTCTGTGCAATAAAGGATTGGTGCTCTTTCAGAAGAGTATGAAGTATGTATTTAAAAATAAGTTTGGTGCTCTTTCAGAAGAAGCAGGAAACAAGTTTGTATAAGGAGTCCACCTATGATCTGACAAGCCCTATTGGAAAGCTCAAGCCAGGTATTAATAAAGTGGAAGTCAGATGTCCTGTCTCTCCTGAGGTTAAACTACCCTGGCAGTGGAAAACAATGCCAAGAAACAGAACAGAGGGCTGTGATCACCAACATTTAAACTGGCTAAAAAGGGGCAGGGTTGATCCCAGCTCCCAACCATGTCAGCAGTCAAATGGCCAGTGAAGTGTGCCAGATTGTACTTCTTGCAAAAATCTATTGAGAGAAGAGAGGAGAGGAAATATTCCTTTAAAGCTGGAACTGAGGATGAATTTAAGTTGCCTCAGATATGGGTTAAGACAGCGGTTCTCAACCTTTCTAATGCCGCGACCCTTTAATACAGTTCCTCATGTTGTGGTGACCCCCAACCCCCCATCCAGCTGGCTGGGAAGGGGGGCAGGAAGGCTGCTCCACCGGCTCTGCCCAGTCTGGTTGAAGAAGTGCCATTCCTCTCCCTCTTTCTTTCCTCTCTTTCTCTCTTTCCTCTCTTTCTCTTTCCTCTCTCTCTTTCCTCCCTTTCTCTTTTTCCTCTCTCTTTTCCTGTTTCTCTTTCCTCTCTTTCTCTTTCCTCTTTCTCTCTTTCCTCTTTCCTCTCTTCTCTTTCCTTTCTTTCCCTCTTTCTCTTTTTCTCTTTCCTCTCTTTCTCTCTTTCCTCCCTTTCTCTTTCTCTCTCTTTCCCCTCTCTTTCTCTCCTCTCTCTCTTTCATCTCTCTTTTCCTGTTTCTCTTTCTTCTCTTTCTCTCTCTCTCTTACGGCAACATTGTCGGGGGTCCCCGCCACCCCTGGCCTGGCCTCCGCTGTGTCCTCAGCTGAATGGGCAGGGAGGGGGAGCAGGATGGGAGGCAGCGGCTGCGGCAGCCCCTGCTGCATCGTCGGGGGTCCCCGCTGCCCCCAGCCTGGACGCCGCCCCCGCCGGGAATCCACGCTGCCTGGCCTCGTCCTCCATCCATCAATGGAGCCACGGTGGGGGCTGGTGCCACATGGCCCACCTTCCTCCCAGCGCCCGCCTGAGCCGCCTTGGGGGCAGCAGGAGGAAGGAGAGGAGAAGGGCGAGAAAACTGCCGCTGCCCCAGCCGGGACTCCACGCTGCCTGGCCTCGCTCTCCGCCCATCCGATGGAGCTGCGGTGGGGGCTGGTGCCGCGCGGCCCCTGCCAGCCCCTCTGCCAGCCTGGCTGCTCCGCCCAGCACCCCTCTTGCCCCGGCGCCCGCCTTGAGGACAACAGGAGGAAGAAGGGGAGGAGGGCAAGGAAGCCGCTGCCAGCGCTGGGCCGCAGAGGGTGGCTCTCCTCTCCTACCTTTGCTGAATCTCCTTCTTCCTTCCCGGCAGCCTGGACTCCGGCGCGCCTTCCTGGGTCCAATGGTCAGGCTGGCTGGGGATCGCAGGAGCTGGTCTCCCTTGGGCCGCGGCTTGCGGGAGGGCTGGCCCACTCAGTGGAGCCTCCAGCGGGCCACTCCCAGTAGGGATCCCGGGGCTTCCCCTGGTGGCTCCACAGCCATGAGGCCCTGGCCATGCTTCTCCCAGGGGGTGGGGCACCCGGGCACAGAGCCAATCAGGAGCCCTGCAGGAGGTAAGTCTGCCTGAGAGAGAGAGAGAGAGAGAAGGGAAGCGAAAGTGCCTCTCTGTCTCTCTCTCCCTGCAAATGGTAGAGGAGGCCATGCGGAGCGGTGTTTCGGTTCCTAAGACCATCGGAAATATGTGTTTTCCAATGGTCTTAGGCGACCCCTGTGAAAGGGTCGTTTGACCCCCAAAAGGGTCGCGACCCACAGGTTGAGAACCACTGGCATAAGAGATTGCAGATATGGTGAACTGCAAAAATAGTTGTGACAGTCAGCAGCACTGCCAGTTGTAGTGGTAACATTTTAGATATGCTTTTTTTTTTTTTTTTTTTTTTATTAAAATTTTTCAAAAG